CGTGATCATTTTTAAGTTTAAGGTAGATTTTATAAAAATATATTACGGGAATGTTATACATACATTCGACTAATTCTGTTCAGTAGTGGAAATTTCGCAATGATTTGACCTTTGATAGACATCTCGGGTAATCACATGATCATGGCAACCACTGCGTCATTGGTCGATCTCGTGTTTACTCTGCTTAGCTCGGCGTGAGTGAATAACGCTATATGTAGTGAACTAATTCTACAGTGTAAGAGTTATCTGCCAAGTGAGATTAAGTCCCCCACAGACTGCGTTCTTTTTAAATTAATAGGCTAATAAAACGCATGGGGTAATTTAATCAGTGTTTTACGTGAGATGTTATTTCAATATAATCTATAGTAAACGGGACACTTTACTGAGAAGTCAGAACATTCTAAGCGTTATAAAGTCGTCAAATTTCTTCACTGACAAAAATGTATGAAAGATTTCGACCGAGAGATAAATATACTCAAGATACGAATAACTCGCGAAAGCTAACAGCGCCACCAAGTGTCCGAAACGAGGTTAAATTCAAAAGGTCATACCTTCTTATCAAATGCTATTGATTTTACGACAACATAACTGTCGAACCAGAGGCATACACCAGGCAATGCGTTATAACTATTAACTGTAATTGTTGCGGAATTAAATTCAAGTACATAAAAACATTACAATTGACGTGAAAATTATTTGGGGCTCACAATTTACTTTTTATTCGTTTTTCGGTAATGTCGATATGCAAACATTACAAGTGATATAACATAGAGCATATATACAATATATATATTTCCAAGTGACCCCAATCTGCATAATATTAAAGAGCTCGCACTGGTTCGCACGTTCGTAATAAATAGAACTCCCGATGGTAAAGTACCAACCAATATTACGTTAATAATTCAAAAATAATATATCAACCATATCTTGAAACCAGCCGGACCTCACTGCGATGCTATTTCTTGAAAACAGGCTATGTTATTAACAACCAAAGAAAGGTTAGAAGATCACGACTAATAAAGTACACATGACAACGCTTCTATCGAATGACCTTTATACCTATCATGTATAATGTCTCACAATATTATTATAGTAATCTTCCCAATGTCACGTGACTATAATCGTTTTTATATGGAGTCATGCATGTCAGACAAGTCAGAGAATTATTTAGTCTAGAACGTGTTATTCCCTCCTTTCTACGGCTTTAAGCTGCAACAGTATCGAAATGGACTGGCTGGCGAACACTCAGTGAAAAAAAAAAACTAGTTGGCCAAGCAATCAGTTTGTAAATACGATATGAATAATACGTAATGAATATGTAAACTTGATTAAATATACAGTGATGTAATGAGTGTGATCAGACACATCGTTGGAATATCCTGGCAATATTTTGTTTTCTACAAATTAAAAAGGAAAGTAATCACAAAAATGTAAACTTAATTGTAAAATGTAAAATAAATTAAATCGGGGGGGGGGGCACCTACGCACGCACGGGAATTGAGTCCCAAGAGACGATAACAACACACACTAATAACGCAAAGGCTCATGGGTAGACGCTTGTTTGTAATCAATGACACGCTATGGCCATCTGACGCATGCGCAGGTGATGACTCCCCCGCTGTTTTATTTGGTGCAATTATTAACAGGACTTTTGTAAACTATATATCAATGACCTCGAAACTGAATGTTGTCAATTACACTTTAGATGACGTATTTTATTTAAATGAAATTAAAATGAAAATAACAAACGTTGATGTGACGAGATTTTCTCGACGCCTGTCGCGATCTTAATGCGGAAACACGAATTTGTGTACTTGTAAAATAATATGTGCATGACACTTAAACATCACTATCGACAGCTCGACACCAATCATCGTCGGGATATGGACTGCTATATAACCCATAGACATTTACTACTTTATACTAAAATATCCTGAAATTCTCTAACGATAGATATCGCATGGATAGATTTATGGTTATTTCAAGGACACGCTGAACCGAGCGTTCTATTCTGTGGTGGGCATCAACTTAATGCGAATACGATAAACTTATTTTTTTCTCCACCATACAAATTAAATAAAAATAAAATATTATTATCACTCATGAAAATATGCAAATTAAAAAGTTATTGTAAATGCAAACAAATATTCTCTAGGTATTAATATCAAGTGAAATTAGAATTCACTGGAACATGTAAAATAATGAACTTATTGTTTCACTGTCAAAATCGTTGATTTAAACTCCAGTGAATATGTGCAAAAACAATGAAATAAAATACCGGAGAAAAATAACCCTTTTACAGTATTCAACGAAGTTTCTAGTCAATAACTTTACAAATGCCCAAAAATATAAATAATCAGCGATAAATATATTATAAAGAATGCTATATCGTTGCTTGATTATTTATTATCTGAAAGTGATTTGCATATTTTGTAATTTCCGGTGGCTAAGTAAGACATATAAGTTTCTTCTTCCAGTATCGATTACTGTATGCACGACGTCGGCAAATGCTACACAGTGATTGGATGATTTATGGTCAAATCTAATTTAAATATATAATTCATACCTATGACTTGTTATTTTACATGATGGCTAATAAAGTACCACACGGTAACATCTAATTTCAATAAGAAGCCTTAAATTTTCATCTGTGATGCTTAGTAAGAGATTCCGCAATTCGACAGAATTGTAACGACGGTTATGACAGTGTCACATTTATTGAAGATTTGCATTTGATTTGTTATTAGCTCGTTCTTGTTTACCCCTAGTGGATAAATCGCGTCGAGGAGTTACTTTCGATGATTTTATGTGTTCTGTTACTGCTAGTACTGCGTGTATACTAGTAACTTGTTAAGTCTTGTCAGTATACTCACGTCAAAAAAATATATATTCTTTGAATAATTAATAAGTTTCTAAATTAAAAGCAAAATACCGAATAATTAGGATCACCCACGACACACCATAAATGTGTGAAGTTACGAAGATAACCCTGGGTACTAACGACTCGGAGGAGCCGCCGACTAATCACGAACATTTCAATGACTGAAACTACATAAATAAAAATAAGTGAATCAAAAAATGACGTAGTTCTTGGAGAATGGAGCGCATAGTATGAATAAAGTCATGCCCTCTGAGAGTACGAATGACCGTGATACTATCTACTAGTAGCATGAACACGCATCATGTCAGTTATTCACCAGGTAGCGTCAACATGTATCACATCAAAATGACATGCCTTAGCAATGACTGTTGCCACGGCACTGATACTATTTATTTGGTATATTGTAATATATACGTGTATAAATCCAGACAAAAGATCCGATCTGATTCACCAAAAAATAGCCGTGAACCGAAAAATTCAATAATGGTTGCTGTTCACCTTCTCACCCCTACTCTATTAATAGAGTCTTCCGCGGCGCTGGAACCAATTCGTTGGAATGTAATGGGCCACGGCCGGCTGTGACTAGAACCGAAGAGGCAGCAGATCACATATCAAAACACTGCTACACTTTGGTATGTAAATAGCGCAAAAATATCTTTCAAGTGGCGGTTTCTGTGGCAACCGATATGGATTTGGTGATCTAAAATATTATGTTGCTTTGAATACCCTGAGAGATTTCCAGCGATCGAGATTCCTGAGTGTCGAGTGCAAGGAAGGACCGAAATGGGGAAATTACGAGGCTTCTTCATCGAGTTCTCCAACGATCGCGATGTGTACGACGCCGGGGATACCATATCTGGCAACGTCGTTATTGACCTCACCGAAGATAAAATGTTAAGAGGTAAGATCACTTCATTTAATTTACAAAGTTATGCTTGAATTGTGTTGGAACTATTAAATGAATAGATTGGTTCCTATATATCAACCCAGCAGTGTGTTAAATTATTTAATTATTAAAAAGGGAATTGGTATATTATTTAGAGCGATTGAAATGAAACACCCAGACGTTAGATGAGGGAATATAACAACATAATTAATGCCATTTATCGATAAGACTCCCTGCTGTTTCAAATCGCACCAGCCACATTATACACTCTGGAACCCATGGTGGAAATACGAGTACATATTAATGATACTGAAGTTCAATTGGCTTATCGTCCTTGAGGCATGACTGTGAATTCGCACTGTGCTTCGATTGACAGTCTTGAAACAAATCGTTTTGTCATCATCATCATCATCATCATCATCATCATCACTCGGTATCCCTGACTACTGTGTGTGTTGCGAATAAAGTAAATACTGTATGCCCCCTGGTGGTAAGCAGGTGCGTCACATTTCAAGAAACTGAGATAACCTCCTTTAGAATTTCGGTCTAATCAGGATTCTACTAGCATATCAGCTTTACGGTTTTGAAAGGGGAATGGAGAGTGAAAGCGAGCGAGACAAGCGATGGGTATTAATCATCTAAAAATATAGCATCATCGATAACCGTTAAAGTTCAATTGTTACAGGCACTGCACGTCAAACGCACTGACACGAGAAGATATGATATTTTAAACAAACACATATATCTCGTCAAACATCATTGATGACGTAATTCGATTTCCGATTTCGCCTAATCGAAACAATGAGATTAGCATACCTCTTTTTTTACTGGGCACTGTTTCAAAGGTTTGTGTTCTCAAGCTTTGCACAGATAAAAAAACAGATCAACGTGACACTACACTCAGGGGAGCTCACAACAATCGCATGGATTTAAAATAGGTCACGAAATAGTAATTACACACTGTGAATGGCAATCATGATGGATATTCAAGGTGCTATTGAGTTTATTCAGAAATCCTCATTTATCATTAATTATTGGGAATAGCTAATTTTTAAAAATAGTGCATCATGGGAGCTGTTATGATCATAGTCGTTCTGTTACTCTCATCACTCGATTCCGGGTTCGCGAACTCCAAGTCGAGTAAACATACTCTTCCCGCGAAGGCCAAATTCACTAGATGAAGATGCGGTGCTATACCACGCCACATTGACTACGTATAACATAGAACACTGTGGAATAATTGCACGTACATTTCAAACCGTAATTAACGTCAACGCGTGCATCGAACCGGTTTGTCTGATAAGAGATACGGGATACACGATTACGCATCGTACGAGACTCCGGGAGTTCGTGTGCCATATGCTACTCTCAGCGACAGACACCCTTCGGCATTTAAATATCAAAATAATAACAAGGCGCTGCAACCGCAATTACGTCACATATGATTGTGCATTTTAATGTTTAAAGCGAGAGGGTCGTCACCTGCGCACGCGCGAGAATTGAGTCCCAAGCGAAGATAACAACACGCGCTAAAACGCAAAGGCTCATGGGTAGACGCTTGTTTGTAAAAAATGATAAGCTGTGGCCGTCTGACGCAGGCGCAGGTGACGACTCCACCGCTTTAATTAATCATAACAACGTTTATCCAGCCAACTTTTATGTCTTCAATAGTCAACTAATAATCGTGATCCTGGCGATTAATAAATAGCTAAAACAAAAATAAAAACGATCTCATATTGAAAATCGATTGTTTAATTGACCCATTTTGACGTTACAGAATCTACTCCTCGCTAGAGGGCGTACGAGTTCGTCACGGTATCCCATCGGATGTACACATGTACTCAGCTGGCATATTATGACTTGAAAATTCAAGATGAGTGTAAGCTATATAGAAAGTACAGTGAATGGGCACACATTGGCGCTGAAAATCGCGTTTTTTTTCAACGCATCAGTTCACCTATACACCCGTTCTCTTTAAGTTGTCGGGAACTCATCTAGATGAAAAATATTCAGCGTATTTTTAATCGGTTGACTACATTATCTGATTGTATGTCCGATAATGATAAAGAAATGAAAGATAACTTGTTTAACACGTGCTTCACCATTGATAGCATAGTATCTTTCATTACAATCTGGGCGTCTGGAATTGTTTTTGTTAGTACGTAATTTGTCATTCTTTGCACTCTTAAAACGATGCTGAGCGCACCAGTTTCTACAAAGCCATCAACTGTTACATCACCAACCACTGTGAGTGAGCTAATTTCACAAAATTGTCTGTAGTGGTGGCGCCCACGGCAATAGGAGGTCAAACACCCCTAGTGTTGCTAAGTAAGATAATTGAGAATGGAAAGCAATACAATTAGCAAACATTTCCACGTACATTATAATGTATTTTTTACTTTTGAAACAAATCTCAATTACTACCTTTACGAGTAACAGATAGAGCATAGCTCACGGGGAGTGCGGTGAGAGCTCACTCTTTTTGAGACACCTGACGTCATTTCCCGGTCGTACGCTCACCAGGTCCTCTTAGTAAGAGGTTCATATATCTTGTTCTCTCATTGATTCGACCGTGCGTAGTGTAGTAATTGTCAGTCGTTTGTTTTGTGTTCCGAGTCTCAAGACTTGAATTCAATACGGATTATCGAACAGCTGTAAAGAGGACTTAGATTACAGTGTTTAAATTCATTGTAAAATATAATAATTGGTTGTGATACTAGTATCTGATTAGAATAAGATCGTTAAAAAATGTTTGAGTTTCATTTTTTCTCTTCAATCGTTTTCCCTATTTTTAAAATTGTAGTTACTTATTTTTGCTAGCAGATTTTATGTATAATTCTGATCGTGAAAGCCCTGCGAAACAATATGAGACAGCAAATTAGCCTCCTATCAAAATTAATTATCTCAATGTGCTATATATGAATCCAGTGTGCAAGATGTTCAATTACTTAGTGGGCGAGAGTTGAACAAGAATTCTTATTTGAGTTGTCAGGTCGTTGGTACTTGATTAGAAAAAAAATTACGTCACATATGATTGTGCAAAAAAATTCTTAATAAATTAATATTAGCTACAAAATATACGAAAAAAGAATAAATTACGAAGATCTTGATATCGTCTGTAACTGAATAAACCTTGGACGCTAATGGCCTCCCAAATCCCGTAAGGAGCGAGAGCCACGAGACTTGTTTTTGGCCATCATCAAATATTGTTCTATCCCCTCCCGCCATCACCGTTGTCAAATCACCATGGTTACACAGGTCAAGGAAACAACGAGCTCGACGAGAGAGTATGGAACATAAATAAGTCTCGTAGCCTATCTCGCCCTCAACGAGATCTTGCGTGATATGGATAATTGCAATTTAACCCTAATCGAATAGTTGTCTAAGTATTGAAAACGTCCAGCAAAATACGCTCAGTAATAAAAGGTTGTTATCAATGAGCGGGATGCACAAAGAAAATAATAAAAATCTCATAACTACGAATAACAGCTCAATAGTACGATAAGTACGATGCAGTTATCTTTCGATGTCATAGAAAAGTGACTGCGACATAAATTTAATCGTTGGTTACCATGGAGACAATATTTGCTAGGTGTAAATAAACTTTGCTATGGTGACATATGTGGTTAAAATGATACATCGTTTCAGTGGAAGAATGAATGATTTGTTTCATAAGAGTGTCATGCCAAGAGTGCAAATTTATCAAATTGCAAATCAAATAACAATTCACGGGACAGCCAAGTATAATATACGTTATTCGCGCTCGAAAAACCTCTGTATTATATACGTAACTACATTAGCATGTCAATCACGAAACTGACCCCGAGAAAGTGGATGAGGGAGGAAAATAGAGGGCCGAGACCTGTGGCAGCGATGGAGAGCAAAGTGCGTACCCGGACGCTTACCTTCGAACATCACAGGATTTGATTACTGACTTAAGATAAATCTTAAAATAGCGAATGTTAAATATACATGGATTTCTGTACTAAGGAAGTTTGAATCTGCACGTTAACGAACAATTTTGAATACGCCCATAACTAGAATATCCACATGAGCAAATGGAATCGCCCGAGGTCGTCCAAACTAAGTATAAAACAAAGAGTTTTGTAGAGAAAGACTAATCTTAACATTCGAATTATTCATTTTTGTCAGTTTGTGGTTGAATATAATAACATTGTTACAAAGATGACCTCACATGTAGACATCATGTTTCACACAGAAACCATTCCCTTATGACTCCAAATGTTAAATGTGCCACGTGTGGAGCAGGATAGGTTTATTTTGTATGAAACAGTGTCATGTAGTGTATTCAGTTGTTTTATATTTTTTTGTCGATTGTTGCCAGTCATTCAGTTTGTGTTTTATGGGGATGTTCACTTTCAGTCCACAATTTATCTATACATGTATAACCTTCATTAGGGGTAAACCATTTTAAATAGGGAAGGGGGATTTAGGAAAAAAAATGATATGGGCTGATATTTAAGAAAAAATATCCACAGTTACAATAGAAAGAAAAAAAATGTTCTGCCAATAGAAGTTCAAAAAATGGTCTCAGGAATTAAATAAATCCTGCTGCAGCAGTGTGAAAAAATATGCAATTGACCATTTTCCTCCAGCTCTCTCCCGAGATTTAAATGGATCACCCCTAACCAGGGATACTGTTGGGTATGTTATTTCCACTTTATATGATAATATAGTTACTCCATATTATTACATCCGAATCTTAAAT